TCTTTTGTGTTGTTGGTCGATGTGGCGNGGAAAATTGCACAGATCGGCGGCACAGGGTCAGGCCGCCGTTCCCGGCTTATTTTCCCGTCGAGTTTGTTGGTCTCCTCTGATGTTTGACATTGCACCCTCCCGCGCCACAACGACGCGGCTGGTGGGAAACCAGAGTGTTGGAAAATAGAAAACTTACAAAGACTCCTGCACGCACGCTCCGCGCTTTACCCCTCTCCCCAGCCCCAGGTATTGTGGGTTCAAGGCAGGTTTTTTTTTCGCCTTGACTCCGACGCCACACTGGGACTGATGGTTACTGAGTGCCGATGGTATTGATGATGATATTCATTCATGCATGGTGAGCAGTACTCAGTACTAGATGAGAGGAGTGAACCTCCGCGGGCCTCGATGGTGTAAAGCAAGAATCCTTCTTGTTTGAGATTGGATGAGGTTGCCATGCTCATGACAACACACAAGTTCGAACTAATGAAACATGAGAGAGAGGGAGAGGTGAAAGAAAGGAGGGCAAACGCGAGGTCGTATTCTGACTGAGCTGCGGCTGTTCGTCGTTGATGGAAGAGCCGACGTCGGTGGTCCTGGCTACATCATGATGCAGCAACCCTTGCCGGCCTCCTTCTCCTTGTTCTGGGACTTCTTCGACTTCTTATCATCGTCGCCGCCCTCACCATCGGACGAAGAGGAGCCGTCCGATTCGGCCTCCTTCTTGGTGGCGGCCTTGGGCTTCTTCGACCCCTTCCCATTCTCCTTGTCTCCACCGTCGTCGGCCTCCTTCTTCTTCGTCGCCTTTGCCGCCTTCTTCGGCTTTTCGGCCGACTCCTTCTTGTCGGCCACCTTCTTGTTCGCCTGCTCCTCCTCCGACGTCTCCTCAGATGACGTGCTATCATCATCGTCGCTATCATCATCGCTCCCATCCTCCTCATCCGACGAGCTCTCATCACCGTCGTCGTCATCGTCGTCATCGTCGCTCGACGACGATGTATCCGAGGACCCTGAGGACTCTGCCTTCTTCGCAGTCCCGTTGGCCTCCGCGGCCTTCGCGGGCTTGTTGGCCTCGACTGATGAGACAGCGACCAGAGAAAGAGAGCCGACATGAGCCACAGCGGTGACGGTGGTGACCACAAACCGAGGCGTCTGGGGCGCTTGGGGGGGGGGGTCGTACCCTTGGCAGGAGCGTTGCTCGCAGCTTTTGTTAGGAAACAGTGATTTGGGGGGGGGGGGTTAAGCGGATCGAATCACTGGTTGGGGATGAGTAGAGGAAGGGGGGGTACCAGCGGGGGCGGCCTTCTCACTCTCTTCCTCAGAGCTCCCTTCCTCGGAGCTGGACGAACCCTCATCGCTGTCGTCTTCATCGTCACTCTCTTCATCGTCGTCATCACTTTCCTTCTCCTCCTCCTCCTTCTTCTCCGCTACCACCTCCTTCTCGGCCTCGGCGGCCATCGGCCGCGCCTGCTCCTTTACCTCTACGGCCGGCGCAGCTGCCACCACGGGGGCGGGCTCCTTCTTCTCTGCTTCCTCTTTATCACCATCATCGCTCTCCTCCTCGCTCGACGACGACTCATCGTCGCTGTCATCGTCGTCTTCTTCCTCCTTCTCGGCCGCCTTCGGGGCGGGCTCGGCCTGCTCCTCGCGCTTGGCCGGCTGCTCTTCAGGCTTGGCCGGCTGCTCCTCGGGCTTGGCTTCCTCTTCCTCGCCCTCGTCTGAGCCGTTCTCGGAACCGTCCGAGCTGTCCGAGCTGGACGAGCCGCTGTCCTCTTCCTCGCCCGAGCTGGACGAGGAGTCCTCCTCCTCCGACCCCTCGCTCTCCGAAGAGGACGAGTCCTCCTCCTCATCCTTCTTCTTGTGCTTCTTGTCGCCCATCTTCAACTTCTCCTTCTTCAAATCTCTTTTCTCTCCAGAAAAACCAACCACGGGTTCTGTGTCGCGTGAAGTTGATGAGGGTGAACGAGAGTGGCGAGGAGAAGATGTGGTGGTGGTTCAGTGAGGCAAAGGAAGCAGCTATGCACGTACCTCCTTCTTCTATTCGATCGAGCGAGGGCTGGTCGAGTGAGAAAATACGAGGCAACAGGGACACTGAACAGCACAACCCCAACTACTACGCTGTGGTCGAAACTGGGCCTGGTGGGTCGGCAGAATAAGGCCTCCACCCAATCGCAACGACTTCAGAGTTGGTCTCTCTGCGTCAGGTCGCCCAGGGAGACCTCTCGAAGCAAGAGCCCAAGTTGCACTTTCGCTTTTTGTCGCCACTTACCTTTTCGTATTTTCGTATTTTCGATTTCAAAAAATAAAATAAAAGTGAAATCAAAATAAAACAATAATATTTTTATTTATAAATAACAATAAGAAACGAACAGTCGCGAGCATACCAGCACCCAGAGGCCTTCTGTTCTGCTCTCCCACTCACTTGGGACCTGATGACCGCGACTCGACCTTGAGCTTCGGCGGACGGGTCGCGGCGCCCAGGGTGATCCTCTGTTTCTTCTTCTTCCGCTTCTCCTCTTCGCTCTTCTTTTTCTTCTGTTCGTCGCTTGCGCTCGGAGGTGGCGGCATGCCGAAGCCGACGCCGGCGCCCATCATCGTCATCATCATCGGGGAGAAGGCCATCGGTTGGCCGACGCCCCCCATCATCATCGGCGGCCGCGGGTACCCGAACGGCGCTGGCACTGCTGGTGCTGGCGGCAGCGGCGCGACGCCCGATGGAAGCGGTGGAGGCGGCGGTTGGCGTGGGAGAGGCGGCGGTGGAGAGGCGGAAGAGGTGGGTGACGAGGGGACAGGTGGAGGAGGTGGGTGCGAGGGAGGAGGAGGGCCACCGCCCGGTGGTGGAGGCGGTGCGGGAGTAGAGGGAGGCGGAGGGGGCGGAGCAGCGCCAGGCGGCGGCGGCGTTCCTGTAGTCACCAAGACAACAGACGATCATGATGGTAAGCGATGACCGAGCGAGCTAGACGACAGATTGCGTAATGGAGGACCACAACGTACCGGAAGGAGGAGGAGGGGGAGGAGCGGATGTTGGCGGCGGTGGCACAGGAGGGGGAGGGGGAGCGGCCTCATCGATGACGCGTCTTCGCTTCACGGCCTTCTTCTGGTAGTCTCGCCAGCTGCCGACTCGAGTCTCTCGGCTATCCTCCCACCGCTTCTCGAACTCGGCGTCCTCGCGCCTCTTCTTCGCTCTCGCTTCATCCTCCTCCCTGATGACGACGGCAACACATGCACGCGAGCGCAACACACGACGCCGCTGAGTGAGTGCTGGCGCGTTTGTGCAGGGAGACAAGAGGCTGCAAAAGATGCACGCACCTCATCCGCTTTTCGTGGGCGGCCTCGACCTCCATGGCCCGCTTGCGCCGTTCCTCGAGATCTACAAGGATGCGACACGCCTTCGTTTGCACCATGGTCTCTTTCTGCAATCACATAAACACCAGAAGCCACTCGGGTGAGCCACCATCCACCTTTTCCTCGTAACAGAGTGGCCCTGAAATAAATTCGTGTAGAGCCAGTAATCTAATGCATAATTTCCCCTTTTAGATCTTATGTGTGTCGCGCTCAACTGGCAGGCCCTCGAGCGTACCTGGGCAGGATCCACCTCGAATGCGGCGTCGTTGCCATGCTTCTTCTTGAATTCCTTCTTTTGGGCCTTAATCTCTTCGTCCACGCGCGTGCGGGCCTCTTCTACCACGCCTTTGTAGAACTCGAGGTCCTTCTCCTCGTGCAGCGCCTTTTGGGCCTTGTTGATCTCCTCGAAGGCTTGCTTGGCCCTCGGGTTGTTGGGGTTGCGATCAGGATGGACCAGCAGTGACAGACGACGAAATTGGCGCTTGACCTCCTCGATCGTGCACTCCTCAGACAGCTGGAGCACGTAGAAGGGATTCAGGTTGAGATACGTCGAATTGGGCTGCAAAATGCGTTCGATCTCTCTTTCATTGTCTGCCAATTCGGTACCCGAAGCCGCCTCCATACGCGGCAGATCAACCTCGGGGGCCGCAGCGGCATCGCCGGCCTGCCCTTGTTCTTCGGCCACCGGTGGCTTTGGGGGCTCCATCTGTCGCTATCGATGTATCAATCCGCGGTGGATTCTTTTTCTTTTCTTTTTATCTTGGCAATCCCAGAAATAACCAGCCGCGCGAAATTAATTCACAATTAATGACGAACAACAACCAGAGTATCCTGCAGGCGAGCGAACCAGAGCCTTCAAAGTTTTGAACACAAAGAAGCACGCGGGCCTCTTTGCGGTTCGACCTGAGGCCCAACGACCCCAAGGCAAGGAATCAAACAACCGCTTCTTCAGGGAGACCCTTAGTCCCCTTGCTTGCTTTTTTAATATTAAGATAATTGAAAGTTATATTATTGTTTTCTTCATCCTCTTCGACTTTCATCCTCGTCCCCATCGATTGCAACAAAACAATGAGCACGGGCACGCTCGACGGGGATGAACTTCGACGGCGCGAGCTGGAACGCGAGGAACGGAGGAAAAAAGTGGAGGCCATCAAAGCCAAGGCTGGCCAGCCCAAGCCCACCTCTTCTTCTTCTTCTTTGGCCGGCGGTACCAGCATCGGGACCTCTGTCCGGATAAAACCGGTCGCCGCCCCCGACGCCGCCGCCACGGCCGCCGCCGAGGCTAGCGGAGACGACGTGGAGAGCAGCGAGGAGCGCGAGGCCCGCCGGCGGAGCCTCAGCCACAACAGCAC